AAGTTCCATGAAGGAGACCGCTTTACAGAATGTTGATGACCTATTTACGATCGGGTGGTGCACGGAAGCACCCGATGACAAAAGCTCCGTGTGAAATGACCACGACTGACACACCTCCCTTTTGCCCCGCCTTAAAATGGGCAGTTTCATCAGGAGCCAATGACGCGAATCCCCAGATAAGGTGGCCGGGTCCTCACCGTGACGGCGGAGCACTTTGCTTCTAATTAAGCGACAATAAGTGGGCACGGGAGCGTGTGTAACGTAATCATGCCGTCATTGGAACAATGCTGGTTGAAGCTTGCACAGGGATTCTGCACGTGGGGCTATCATGCTACATACGTACGATCGCCCATATGTCGTTGATATTTTAGACTATCGATGTAGCGCATCCCACATGTTTGTGTGAATGTTTTTTTTTGTTTTTTTTTTGTGCGCATGCTTTTTTGTCTTTGTTTATTTTTAAGCATAATCTAGTTAGCTTCAATGGTGCTCTGAGGGAACGCCAACAAGGCCGACAATTTTCTTGAAATTTATATCGACCCTTTTTTTTTTTTCCTTGGTAACCATTTTATTTTTATTGTCTCTTTAATTTTGACAGTAGGCTTCAAGTTGAGTTTCGAGCTTCGTGTCTCTCAGTCGCTTTTTGTCCTTTTGCTCTAAAATTTTCTTTTATATATATATATATATATATATATATATATATATATATATATATATATATATATATATATATATATATATATATATATAAGCAAACTTTACCTCATTCGTTTTGGAAATTGGGACACCCGGATAGCAAATTTGAGCAGAGACAGACGGAAGTATTTGAGAAAGGGGAGAGCACAGGGGAGGGGCCAGCCTAACGGCCTCGGAACGGATTGCTTACCAAGGTCGCTCGGCTCAACTCCATGGCGCACCCTCTCTTTCCCTCAGAAAGGGCGAGAGACGTGATGAGAGAACAGTTACCCTCCCGTTTTACCCACACAAATCTCCTTTGTGGGCAAAAGGGACTCGGCGTCCTTGAGCGATAAGGAATCCATTCAAGCTGACAGTACATGGGGAGCTACGCGCCCGCCGGATCAGTCATCACCTGCCCCGCTCTCTGCGCGTGGTTACGGGAAAAAGCGTGATCACGTGATTAAAGTTAGACGTGCGATTGGTTCACCGAACACCTTGGCTTCCATTACCCTGTCAGCTCAGGGGTGACGGAGTCCAGCCCGCGAAACACATACAGAAAGTGAGGTCACGTTGACCAAGGCCACGCGATAAGGTAGGGGTCGACTGGAGGACGGTGGGGACTGTTCGACTGGTTCGGGGAACTTTCGGCAAAATTCGACGAAGTTCGCCATCGTGAACAGTGTTGTGCAACCGGGAACTGAAAACGGGCAGAAACAGCTCTTTCCTCCAAGAGAAAATAATTGCAAGATCAACGTGCGCATATCAGGACATCGTGGTGCCAGTTTTTAAGTTGTTTTAGTGCATTTTATTGCTTAGCGGACTGATTTTATCGTGCGAAGCGGCTCGGCATCTTCGCCATTCACGCTACCTCTACTGGAAACGGCAAAAACGGTGTTTTTAGAGCTCCGATCACCAGCAGCGCATTCCGTCTTAATACCAATTGTGATCTTGAACATGCGGATTGTCAAAACTTGTGTCACTAAATAAGCTACGCTTCAGAGTAACGGTATCTCAAAATATCCCATTCGCATTTGAACCGTGCACATTTCGACCCCTTCTCATTTGGTCCTTCTCGTTTGAACCTTCTCATAAGATCCGAATCGTGTTTTTCGCAACTGGACCCCATTCTCTTTTCGCCCGTTCGCGCTTCGACCGAATGACACTAGTTCGGCATGCTTCTAACGTTGTTACGCCTTCGCGGCCTTGTTGATGAGCCTTACCTTAGCTGGGTTCCCAACATACCATCAGATATATGTTATGTGTAGAGGTACGCACTGAGAATCGTACATTGACGCCTGCTTCCCTTCATCTAAGCAACCAAGAAAAAAAAGCGATGAACAGTTAATTCGGAAACTTTGTTTGAACAGAAATAGCATACATAATAGCAGTGCTTCTCAACCATTGATGTTTCGCAGACGCCTTGTAAAAAGGCGGAGATGATGGAGGACCCCGTTTGGGGAGCGGGGAATAGAAAGGTATAAGTTATCATGATAATGATTTAATAAATAGATATAACTAACTGCTGATGTAAAGTAGACTTATCTCATTGACATACACACGAGAGTACTCTCCCGAAATGTGGAACGTTTCTTCTCAATGTGAAGAAAGACAACTAATATTGCCGTGCGTGACTGATGAGACAGGGCTTCGCGGACCTTTAGGATGTCTTCGCAAACTCCCTTTTGAGAACCACTGCATTATAGAAGTGGTGGCATTGTCCCAAGTTGAGAGACCTCGAACAACGTGACATTTCGGAATATGATCTTACTGCGATAAATAGTTGGTCTGTTTTATTGTCAGCTTGTAGCCTTTTAGGACGACCTCGACGCACTGCTAAAATCCTTAGCAGAGAGAGTATGCCTACAGTGTGGCACACCCACACACACACACACACACAAAGTATATCGATGTATTAATATTACCCTAAAAAACGATTTTGGTATAGAAAGAGTCAAGTGCGACGGGTCAAAGCGAGATATTTTTGAGAATGGCTGTTTTGAAAAAGGCTAGGTGAGAAGGGCGAAACGAGAACGGGCCCTAATCAGGAGGGTTGAAATGCGAAAGACAAAACGGGAAAGGGCCAAATACGACGGGTCAAAGCGAGAAGATCTTTTTGAGAATGGTTGTTTTGAGAAGGGCCAAGTGAGAACGTCGAAACGAGAACGGGCTCAGATGATAACCACCCCATTGGCCGTATTGTGGCTTAAAATCATGGTTGGCAGTTATGTGAAGCTTTATTTGAAATCACAAAAAACGCGTTTTTGTCCTCCACAAATGTTTAAACAGTTCGCGACAAAGCAAGGCTGTATTACATCAGCTTCATTGTCAGCGAACGGAGTGCCGAAACTCTAGACGCAGCTCATTTAGTGGCTCTAGTCCAAACCATGGATATACTCTCGGCAGCCCCTACACACCTGTGACCTTCCTTTGTAGTGTGCATACATGTCACTACTACCTTCGACGTACCGAAGACGCAACGAACCACCCTTCCTTCCATGTGAGTGACAAAGAGAGGACCTCTTGACCATCGGGGACATGTGTTCTTGCTACGCAATGTACGCTTTGTCATGATCCGATGAGTTTGGACTGCGTCGAACTCTGTGACAGGAATATTCGACGAGTCCAGCCTGTAACCCAAAGAGATCGGCCCGACGGGCCTTATACAGCCCTAATTGTAAGTATTTTTTTTTATTCATATAGATTGTTAGGGACGTTCTGATTGGTTATTCTTTTATGTTCGAAGTCATTTTTATTTTATTTTTCCTGTTAAAATATGGGTGTCTTCGTGTCGCAAGATGTTTACCTCCCAGTATATCTAAAGCTGAATACCACAGAAGCGTTGGTTAACCCTTATTTCCCCAAATTCGGTTTGTTAGCTGGAAGTGGAGTGCCAGTAATTTTCTTTACTCGTCAAGCTTTTTTTACGTGCGTGCTTTATTTGAAATTCTTGATTGATTCAAGCGTTATGTTCTGTTCAACTGTAATGTTCCTCTCCTATAACAGACTATTTATTGAACTGTTAATTTCGTAGTATAGTCGCCGGCCATATGAGCTCCCCCGGCCGAACGCCGACCGGATCAGCGAAAATCCCGCACGCGGGCCGTCGAGCGTTGCCGTGTTTTGGGAGCCGGGCTATTGGGACCAAACCACTCCGTTATCAAAGGGGTGAACGCATAGCTTTTATCAGGATTCCAGGCTTTCGAAGTGTGAATTACAAAAACATGTAGAATTGCCGTCTTCGGGTGTTGGCCCCAAGTGTTCGGAGATGATGTTATAACTGCTGATAAACTTGAGCTTGCTTTAGGCGTAGATAAAGCAGCAGTGTTCGATCGATGCTTACAAATGTAAAACCCTGTGTTTGATATGATATTAGGCATGACAACAATGATCCCTCGGCAAGCGAGAAGTGGCCGACCAGGAAGCCATCTGCAAAATTATCGTGTAGAGAGTCACCCTTGGCGAAGCAACACGCTAGTGAGCGCAGAATAATAGAGGCTTTTCGATAAAACGCGATCATGAAAAGTCCCTGAATCTTTATTCTGCTTCGACACAAATCGATTTTTTTGTTATCTATAGCATATCCTTAGAGATTAAATAAATTAGTTCAAAATCGCTTGTCATTGTCTAGTCTAGGTTTCCCTTCTGAAAAAAAACCGTATACTTTTAGTACGGGTCCTACCCGTTTGGGTCATATGGTGTTATGGACATACAGGTCCCGTATTCAGTCGGGTCGGGTCGACCCGACTGAAGCATGCTGTCTGTGGTTGGGTTGACCCGACCGTAGACACGGGTCGACCCGACCGTAGACGCGGGTCGACCCGAGCGTAGACACGGGTCGACCCGACCGTAGACACGGGTTGACCTGACCGTAGACACTGGTCGACCTGACTGTAGACACGGGTCAACCCGACCTACGACACGGGTCGACCTGACTGTAGACACAGGTCAACCCGACTATAGACACAGGTCGACCTACGTAAACCAGCAGATACGGGTGCCATGCAATTCCTGTTCACAAAAGGTTAGCATCCCGAGACAGTACCACCTAGATAGGCAAGTCCCCCAGACCACTTTCATACCATCCTCACAGCGAGATTGGGTATGAGTGCTGTGACAGTGTTTGGGTTACACTTGTGTTCAATCAGCGCGTCGAGGGTGGGACTCGGGCCCAGTCATCGTGTCAGCATAATCCGACTGTGATGACATTTCATTAAGGAAGAGGAGGTGATGCAGACACTTATTATCTAGGCAGTGTTGCTCGAGGCCCCCAGCATGCAAAAAAAGCACTCTAGAAAGAATGACTCCAAAGCAGGTGAGTTGACATATATATATTGAATACTTTAGATACCCTAGATCGAAGGTTCCTCAAAACTCAAGTTTTCTATTAATATCGTGCAGTTGCTCGCCGATGTATTTGTTCATGAGAACCCTCCTCTTCTTCGGTGACTTATCCGAGGATGTCTGCGTGATGTACAGCTGGAAGGCATCTGAAAATGGGTATGACAAGGCAATCAGTTACATGTACCAGGTTCAACCGACCCAACAGTTACGACATGTTAAGTGTTTGAACTACTGCAGAACCAAGCAAATTCTTTTGGAGGAAACACTGCTAAAGAGATATATGTTTCAGGAAAACGTAACAATTAATATACTAGTTGTCATTCGTTTTTTTTTTTTTTTTGGGGGGGGGGGGGGTTATAGGTGGCACAGCAAACAAATCGTGGCCTACCCGATATAAAAGTGCATATGCACAACCAATGTTTCAGACAGCTTGAAGTTTGAAAGTTTGATTTCTCTGAGAAAATTGTCGCGAGCGTTCAGTGGGAAACACCACCGAGAAGCAGCCATTTTGGATTCTATGTTGGCTGCACATGGATTGGCTTGGTTTGGCAGCGCTACTTAAATACTGCTAAGTCCTACTGCTAGGTGACGCTGTACGGCTTTTTTCTCTTCAGCTGCACGTCACTATCATCATCATTATTGTTTCCATTTTGCTCTGTTCATTCGTCATTGCAGTCATGGACTTGTGCCTCCCATCTCGATCTTGTCTCGGTGAATTGTGTTTTCGAACTACGCTGGCTTGGACATCATGGCCCCATCTGTTCCTCCGTCGCCGCCATGTGTCGCTGATTCCTATGTCCCACTAGAGCGACAGACAGAAACAAAAGACAGCGACAAGCCTCAAACCCATGCAGCATGCTCGCGATGGTACCTTTGGCAGGCGTTTAGTCGTTCGATGCTCGTGAAGTAAGCACTAGCGGTTGGAAGCCCGCCAAAGATACGCTCGCGTGCGTGATGCTAGTGTTTGAGCATAGCCTCCTTTATTACACAAAGCATCTCAAATCGTGAAAGACTGGTTTGAGGCTTGTCGCTGTCATTTGTTTCGGTTTGTCGCTCCAGTGGGACACGGGCATAAGAAGCGCAGAAAGTACTCGACCATAGCGCTAGAAAAGAAGGCAGCGATTCTCAAACTAACAGAAAGTTCTCGAAAGCAAACGGAGGCGAAACCTAAAACAGGGCGCGAAGGCGTAACCTGAAGCAAGGAACTATTTACAGCTTTTATAGGCCCGCTTAGACGTAATAAAGAAAAGTTTTTTAATCTGCTGATTTTTCAGACTGCTCTTTTATTCGGACGTTTTTTCAGTCCCTGCGAAGTCCAAAAAATCAGTCAAAGACTCCAATATTCAATCTAATTTTAATTCCATTTCATACGTCTTTCACTCGGAACAAGCACTACAAGTGCATGGAAAACAATTTAATGATTACGAGTAAAAAGAATTAGCAGGGATTCCCTCATGAGTTCCTACTTTCAAGTAATAAATAAAGGATCTAAGGGCACCTCTGTAGTAAATTGTAGCATGGTGTGTCAAAAAACAACTTGTTCCGTGCATTTAAAGCCCAATATATTTCTCCGACGAATACGGTATATCCTAGGAAAATTATCAGTTGAGATTAGCGATTCTAGTTTTTTCGATGAAAACTAATGAAAGATTGATGTTCATAAAATAACTATTGAGACCAAGTTTTAGCAGTGGTCAACCATGAGCCATGTCATAGAAATGCCTGCAAATAAGTGGCAGAGTTTGGTGTGTTGGGAGTAGAGGAAAAGCACTTACTGCCCACGGCCGCCAGCTTATTCGGGGTCAGCGCTCGCTTCGCAACTGACCCCTTGAGCCGCCTACATGCCTGTCCAGTCACACTTCGGCGCTGCAAGTTTGCAGCGCCAAAAACAACCTTCGTTGCTTCTTTGCAAAACATCGAGTCCCCCCGGGCACCCAAGATGTACTTCAGTTTGCTTGTGGCGACCATGATCCCGTGACCAAGGTGGGTCTGAAAGTATGAATAACAATTGTGTTATTCTACACAAGCAGTTATAATGGCCACAATACAAAAATACTCTTGCTGGTAATGGGCTAATAAAATGCATGGAGCTGCTCCAATGTTGCAATTGCAGCAAACATAATGCAAGCTGGCCGTGTTTAATATGCCCAATTTAACGCTCCGTACTATTGGGTCCAAATAAAATTCAAACGGCAGAGCACATGGCTTTCGATACATGCTGCAACAGCTGATGGCTCCCTAACTCATGAAAATGTGCCGTGGACTGCAGGGACTATGATAGCTTCAGTAATGTGTTGAAAGATCTGTCACTACTGCCATTGTCAGAACATGTGGAAGTTCCTTATTCAGCAAGCGCAAACACCCACAACATTTCTTTTTCCTAGCTTGCACAGCTTTTTTTATATGCTTCACAATATCCTAATACAGTACTAATAGCAAAAACAGTGTGACATGCGAGACAGAAGAGCAAGGGGTAATGCAGGATGAGTGTTATGTTGACTACCAACTGCAGTATATTACTCAGAAAAATACTCTACATTGGCTCATACATACATCAGTTCTCAGAGCTCGTCCCCTGTGTCCTTTCCTGTTCTTCTGTCTCACATGACTCACTGGGATTGCAGAACGTAGGTCTGCCAACTTGCATAATCCACAAATATATAAATAAAATGCAGTAACTTGAGCGGGCCTCGCATTTATTGAATGCTGAATAAACAGGATTGAAGATCTACCCCTTCACTGTTGCACACATTTAGGTGCTGAATTGATATTACAAATACCTAGTCAATGACAGACCCTGTCTGCCTTCTTGGTAGCGGACGGCATAAGAGCCCGGCAGGCACATTTATATTTCTGAAGTAATCTACCACAAATCCATCCTGGTAAAGTTTAATTTTAGTTCGCCAACTTTTAATGATTGAATTCCTAACAAATCTTGCCAAAGAGAGATCTTAATTTAACTATTGAGCAGCTATTGAGAACTGTCCTGGTAACCAGGCTAGTTCCTCTCACGGATTTCCAATAGAAGGCATAGTCAACAAAAGAAGCACAACTTAAACCTCATAAAAACAAAACAGTGTGCATAATTAACAACCTAAATTGCATGTAAAATAAGTTGAAAACAAAACAATTTCAAGATGAAGAAAGTCCAATATTGACTACACTATTTGTTAGTAGAAAATACAAATTTTCTCAGTCCCTGTTTCAAACAAAACTATTCCAATACTAAACAGAGTACCAATCTGCTCTATCTGATAAAAGTATAAATGCAAAATATTGAAACCTTCACGATGCCACCGATACCACCCTTGCTCATACAGAAATGCTTACTGTAACCTCACTAGAAAAAAAATAACAGACTTAAAAAAAAACACTTGCTTAGGAGTTTTATAAAGAAAAAGTGACCAACAAAAGTGGCAAGTAAGACCATAAAATGGAAGGTTTTCCTCACAAGTCAATTGCTTGGATGCGTTCTAGCACAACGGTTTAAAATTTGCTTCGCTCAACGGGATGTTCCCACCTTCTCGTCCTCTCACCAGCTTGCTGTTTCTGTGCCAGCGACTGTATTCGCCATAAATATCATTTATAACAAAAAATCTACAGACCATCGAGTCAATCAATTATTGTTTCTATATGTTACGTTTGCGACACGAATGAGAAGCATGGAAGCGGTCACAGCAAAAGCACACACCCCAAACATGCAAAAAAGAAAAGAAAATATTATGCCAAATGTTTGTTCAATTTTTGTATAGTACTTGTCGCTTTTGCCAGAAATTAGATGATAGGTGAACATATGCCAGCAGGCCCTTATGTATGTTTATATACCATGATGAGGCGCTGTAAAAACGCCGACCCAAATAAACATCATGATAAACTATCACCAGCTCGCCTGCGCACTCACTGTCTTTGCATTAATGATACATATAGCAGACATGGCGAACTCGCGCCTGCGAAAGTATGTGGGAATTCGCTATAAACTCCCCTACCACGGGTACCACAGCAGAATGCAGATGCAACGCATTCGCGCTTCACGGTGCGATATACATACAAGAACCCGGCCACTAGAAACTCAAATGTCACGGTAACCAATATCGCACACAAAAATCTCAGGCAAAAAAAATGCGGGAACGAATTAGGAATATGCATGTCATGGAAAAAGATACCCCACATATTGAGGATACTGTAGAGTCGCATGTCACAATACGATAAGCACAAGAAAACCCGTGGCGGGCACGTTTATCGCGCACCGATACCGCAGATCACGCAGTAGAGTTGATTAAAAAAACGAGTTATGTGATTTCTCGGGGTTGGGCGTTTGTACGAGACTTTACGGTATATGCAATTTAATGCATGTGTGTGGTATTTCGAATACACGCAACCATGCTCAACGCCACTGTGAAAAAAGAAAAAGCGAAGAAAGGAAGAAGTAAAGTAAGGAATGACGACGAAACGAGGCTTCGAGGTGTCGTTTCGTTGACTGTCAGAGTACCGATGAGTACTCTGACAAAGCGACCTACGCATGTTGCATTTTCGGAGATCAGACCTACACTCCGCTGACACAACAACATTGGTATGGTGGTTTCATAACAATACGGACTTTTAGCAAACCTTCACCGTGTTCCGCATTACCAGAGCCTTTGAAGCATGATTTCAAGCGCTTGCCTCACGGTCACGGTATCGATTTGCTAAAAGTCCCTATTGGTTCAGAATCACCTAAACAAGCATAACACGATAAACTACTGTGGCCAATAAAAAAAAGAACTCCAACAACTTTAACAAGAAAAAAAATGTTTTGGTCAGTTTTGGCGCAACATGTGCGCTTGGGAGCAGGTTGGCACAGCTAAAGTGGATTGGCGCACCATGGCGCAGCACTTCTACCCCGCTTCCTTTATTGTGGAGCGCAAGTTTGTCTGCTTCTTTTACGAGGGTTGTGGTGACGTCAAAACGCGGAGCTCTGATTAATGGATAGTGGGTAGACATCAAAGCAGCTGCCTTGAGGTCTACCCACTATCCTTCAGATGAGAGCCAATCGGAGCTTGGCATTCTGATGTCACCACAACCCCTGCAAAGCATACCCATGCTTTGCAGGGGTTGTGGCGTAACAAGCATACCCATGCTTTCGTGGGCTGGTCTGTGTTGAAAATGGACAATACATATTTGTTTATTAAAAGAAGCAGACAAACTTGCGCTATGCATCATGGTTTGCACCTACAGGCGGCATAACTGCTTCAACACTTACCTCATCATCTACCTCTGCGAAGAGGCCCAAGAATCCATGGGAAGGGGAAGGGGCTTCTGGTGGGCCGTGAACAAGCCCCATTCCTGGAGCCACGGCAGCTGGCAGAGCTGCTGGAGCCCCAGCAGCTGCAGCAGGCTGTGGCAGTGTCGCAGCAGCTGGCGATGCTACAGCAGGCGGTGCCGCAGCAGCTGGCGGGGCTACAGCAGGCGGTGCCGCAGCAGGTGGCAGCACTGCGGCAGGTAGTTGTGCTGGTACACCAGGCAGTAGCACTGCACCCGGCAGTCGTGCAGGTGGCAGCACTGCGGCCGGCAGTCGTGCTGCAGCAGCTTGTCCAGCTGTGGGGACAACTGCTGCAGCTGGGGCAACGGCAGTTGGTTCAGTTTGTGTGTCCACTGCACCTCCTTGATTCTTCTCTGAAATTGTATACAATGCACTAATTGTCAGCAGCTCAAATAGCACCCAGGAGAACAAACCTGTTCCCCACCCCATGCGAAACATGTTTCTAGCAGACTGAGCGTACGCAACTAAAGTAAACATGTGCAAGCTTGTTTTCCGGTAGATGGCACGCAAAATCTGATATAACCTTGTTTAAATGCATCTGGAGACGTCCTCTGCAGCATAATAGCTTAAACTTGCCATTTTTAGGGGGGACATGTTAAGAAATTTATTCACTCAAGGAGTTTGTGGGCATTATATTGATGTCTCAAAAGCACATTAAGCCTCAGAAGCAATGTGCACTCTCCACGCATTTATTATTTTCTCGGGACATCAGGTAGGCTTACCCAGGGTGTCTAGCAAATTATCATTTTGAAATTCCCTGACGATTTCAGGTGAAATTCCCTGACCACTGTAGAGGCGGTTAAATATATAAGACCATTACAACACAAGGCATTGAACACTGTGAGGATCATTTTTCAAGGGCTTAATCCAACTTGCATATTCCGAAAGGTTCGGGTTCGTCCAGTTCGGATTAAACCAGCACTTCCTTGCCACCGACATCGTCAGTAAAAAGGCCACTTCCAGAAACACTATGCAAACACGACGCCCAGCCACACACGTCAATAACCAAATGGCAGTATAGCCGCCAGAATGTAGGATACCAGATTAGAGTCTACGGCTTTTCCATTTGTTGCTAATTCTAGTAGCTCTAACTGGATCTAGCCTACTGTGGTGCCTCAATCCAACCCAATCCAAGGCTTGGACTAGATTTATCGGCTGTTCCCTTTGCATCGGGTAGCACACGCTACATTGGGTGAGCAGAGCCCGCACTCCACTCTAAGCAAAATTTATTGGCAATTTTTCTGCCCCTAAGTTCTCAAGTCTTTCCTGAGGGCACTCGATGGCATCTCCGGCTCATTTTCCCTGACTGGGCTCACTTTTTGACAATATCCCTGATTTTCCCTGACAATTCCCGGTTGCTAAACATCCTGTTACTACAACTGGTGTCCCAGCTGAAACTAGGTGAAAAAAAGCCAATGAAAAGTGGAGAGGATGAGTGCTTGAGTTTCAAAGTAGAGTTCCACTTCACTGATGAACTAGCCTTGGCAATACTCTGTCTCTCACCCAGTCTCAGCTGAGACTGGCCATTTTGTGTGCTACCAACTGGGCTGGTAGTAGACTAGCCCAATTTTGCCAGCTCATAACAGTAATACAACTTTGTTTAGTAAACCAAATATTATTAAATCCTAAAACCCAGCCAGTGGTTTGTTTCTCGCTAGAAAACAATTTCTGCAATCTTAGAAAACTATTTTAATTTACAACACACACAAGTATGTTCCACTCAAGACACACACATGCAGGCAGGCACACAACAAAAATGTACCAATCACTCGGTGCTATCAGCATTGTGTTGAATTTCGTCTTCTTCCTCTATGTTGTGTACACATCGACCAAACTTTCTTTTTTATTTTTTGCCAAGTACAACTCTTTCTTAGATTACACCCCCCCCCCCCCCCTCGCAAAATAAACACACCTCCAGTCTCAAACTGCGCCCAACTCAGCTAGCCACCAAGCCCACCAAGCCAATTTTCTTTCACCGCCAAGTGGCCAGGCCAAACTAAGCCAAGCATAGCAATATACGCTCTCATGGCTGCAAGTGCATAGTAACGGAAGTGATGAACAGTGAAACTGAGTAGCGAGCACACCCAATAAAACTGGGGTCGAGGAATCGCCCAGCTTCGGACATGTTTCGCCCACCGGATGCATTGATGTCAACTAACTCGTGTTCGTCTGCGGTCCGCTTTCGGACAGTGAAATCATGCAAGTGGTTAGGTAAGAACAATCGCGTCGCTCTCAGTGCGGCGTGAGCTTCGTAGGGTACTTTTCCTTCGGCAAAAGGCACGCCGAAAACGCCCTAAAAAAGGATTGCAATTTATAGAGCATGATTACTGTTGCACGCCCACAACCAGTCGTGGATGTGCATCCATCAGTGGAGACGTGCCACAGTACCCTTCCATGTTATATTGGCACCTAAGAAGACATTCTCACAAAGTTTGTAAAAGCAAACATTTTACCCCGCGTGATAAACCCAGATATCTTTTTTTTTTTTTTTGGGGGGGGGGGGGGGCAGTGTGTTCATTTTACGAGTAAATACAGTATGTTATAGAAGGGTTGCTAACACATTGTTCATCTAGCTTGAACCCCAATTGTGTCCGCTTCAATAGTTTGTCGCGTGAGGAGGTGGTGAAAGGCGTATCTAGGCATACATTGGCAGGGCTGCAGACGCTCAGCAGACTTAAAAGAAATGTATTGTAATAGGCAAGCACTTTTACCAGTTCACACGAGAAATTGAAACAATTGTGAAAATAGGTGAAAAATGTGTTAGTCGAAGTAATTCATTCTATGCAGCTGGTCGCCTTGTTTTGCTCCTCTCTTTACGAGCACATTTTTTGTGCAACAGCAACGAAGAAGAACAAAGTTTGGTAGATGTGTAAACAACACAGAGAAAGAAGACAACTTGCAACACAGAGTTGATAGTCAGCGCTGAGAAAGTGGTACATTTTTGTTGCTAGCTTACTTTGAAGTAAAGGATCAATTCAACTGAATAATTGATTTTAAAATTTCCCATTACATCTGCTACCTGTTTCAAAATGATACAAATGTAAATGTTGGCCAGCCCACACACATTTTTTCACATGCGTGCTCAAAGCCTACTTGGTCAAACCTGGCCGCTTCACTGGCTTGCCATTCCGCTGGCTTCACGCCATTCCATTTTCTTCCCCAGAGTGTAAAAGGCCGTGATTGGGTTTTTGCATGGTTGCCATCTTGCCATTTCACGTGGTTGCCACCTCTGCACAAACCTCTCAAGCATTGGACCCCTAAAACACCTGAACATATGGTAACCTCCCCATAATGCAAAAGATTTTGTCTGACCCAGCACTACCATTGTGTCAACAGGGAGACAATCGCACGCCACTACATGGCAAAAGCACGCCTCATCCTAAGCAGTAGCAGCATGACCAAAATTAGCAGTGCCCAGAAGCTTCTCTTCCAAATGTGTTTAAAAGCTTACCTAAGAGATCCAGTAGTTGTTCTTGAAGACGCCGTGAAATGCCTCTTTCTATGTCGAGCTCGAGCTCCAGGTGGCAGATCCTTTGTTTTTTCGCTTGCAGTTTTTGTACAACTCTGGCATACTCTTCAGCCGTCACTCCACTGCTCGCAGGCTCCGTATTGTCACTAGAGCCTTTTGGAAGCTTTCGCTTTGTCATTCTTTCTTTCAAAACAGGTGCATTGTCCACCTGAAAAATAAAAAAATGACAAAGATGATTAGCTGGCCAAATAGAGGCATCGGAGCCATATCTGGTACCCAGTGTAACCTTCTAGGCAGCAGGTAGTGGTGTCTGTGTTTGAATGTGTGCCATACCTGAGTGACACAGGCTGTTTTAACCTTGTTTGGGCAAACGGCAGTTAGCGGCCACTAACTGTGGTACGACCAAACTGAATTGAGATGGTGTTACATGGCCATTTGGCTTCCAGTTGAAGGGGTGAAGCCAAAAAGAAACCAACTGCAATGTCCCGCGTTTTTTATATCTATTATAACTGTTCACAATGAATAATCAGACTCCTTATTTTATTTGTGGTGCATAACAAACAATTATCAAGACCCCTAATATAAATAAAAACATGGGCGACATGAGGGAAGCCGCACTGCCATCAACCAGAAACAATGGCAGTGCCTGACGAGTGCAGGCTTTGGCCAGTCCCGTGATATGGCGCAATAGCCCTTTTGCGAAATCCCCGAAGCGCCCCGGCCCGCGCACGAGGAATTGTGGTAGGGACTGTCCCTCGCCTGGCCGCTCTGCCTTGAGATCACGTTGCCTTGTTGCTTGCCTCCTCTGAATCCTCTGTTTTTCGATTCCATTACCTATTTTTATCCATTCCAGTGTATTTTCATTGCTTCTAATTGTTTCTATCCTCTTCTTCACGCGTTATTTCTTGTAGATATATAATATTTGTCTTTATTTTGCGTTGTTCGACGGGAGCGCCGACGGACAACACGCCGCTTCATGCGTCGTTCCTGGGGTGAGTACTACCGTTGCTACCGATTCTTATCGCGCTGTTAGCTGTTAATTTCGGTTCATTTGACCCGCGTGCAGTCAAGAGGAGCCGTTCATGAACACCCTCGCACATGTCATAGGGGTAGGCAGAGCTCTGAATCAACAATCGCGACGCAAAAACCGAGTGCGCTGTGATTAGGCCGCCCGCGCTTGCTCCGTTGACTCGCACTGTAGCGTATGCCCTTGCGTGCCGCTTACTTGACCAAGATACAGCACGCCGCTTTGTTGCCGTAAACCATTTGTCCCAATGTTTGCGAAGCTGAGGTATATGCAACGCTGCGGCGCAATTCCTTCACAAATGCCGACGGCTCAATGTCGCCGCTTCCGCGACATTGAGCCTCCAAGCAGACTGATCAACCGCCAAGCAGACTGATCGTGAATGCATGCCAAAGGTGCATAGAAGTCACGACGTTGAACCGTCGGTGCTTGCTAAAGGCTCGCGCTGCTGCGTGCAGTTGTCAGGCACCGAAGCGTTGGATATGACGAACAGTGTTACGGCTTTGCAGGCATTCGAACAAATGATTTGCGACAACACATCTCTGCACTTGAAAAAGGGCGTTGGCAACGGACAACCGCTTAGCAGATAGATTACGAAGGTGTGCCATAGGCGCATTCAAGCCGCGGCATTGAGCCGTCGGCGCTTGCGAAGGGATCGCGCCGCAGCACGCAGTTGTCAGGCGCCGCAGCATTGCATATGCCTCAGTTTCGC